TTTTTTTTGGTACCGGGGATCGAACTCAGGTCCTTGAGCTTACGAGGCAGGAGCAGAACCACTGAACTAAATCCCCAGCCCTGTACTCTATAATGTATAGTCTCATATGCTTTGTAAAATGTTATCTTAGAATGACAATGTAATGTTCATTCTGTTGGTTAATAGTTTGACTTCTTGCTTTTGTAGAATTAACACTGAACCCTCCAGAAGGAATTGTGGCAGGTAAGGGACTTAGTAACTCCTTTATAATTTTTCTAACTACAAAGTTGCCTTTAGGGTTAAAATGTTGTGGGACTTTTTTTCTTTCTCTGCAGGCCCTATGAATGAAGAGAACTTTTTTGAATGGGAGGCTCTGATCATGTAAGTCATTCACATGTTACTGGTTTTAAGTGGTTACCTGAGTACCTGAGAATCACATTCAGCGGTGTGACTGTGCTCTGAAGCTGATGAGGACAGGGCAAGTGGATCTTGTGACTCTCCGCTCCTCCCCGGCCTGCTCTTCTGCCTGAAGAGGACTGCTGGACATCCGTCCCAACGCTGTGACAGTTTCTTAGAAGCAGTAAAAGATTAGTTTTGAATCATGTTTGTAGTTTCCAGATAATGGTATGTTCTATTAGGAGAAACAAAACCCCTTCTTCCCTCTGCTCTCATACCACAGTCAACACAGAAAACTTCTGTGAATCTAGAAGATGCGGGGGTTTCTTTGCTCCTGCAGCGGACCCCAGCTGGATATCCCCTATTGCAGTTGAGGCTTAACTCTGTCTCCCTGAGAGTCTTCCGGTCCACAGTGGAAACTCTTTCTCCAAGACGACCCCACTTCAGTCCCAGCACAAGTCCGGTCTGCAGAACTTCTGACCAGCCAGCTATAGACTGAGGTTCCCAGCGCCCCACCCAGGCTCCCAGAACCCTGAGAAATACTTCTCTGTGTTTGCTGGTTTATAACAGAGGACGCTTAAAGGATTCGCATAAGCAGCCGGGTGAAGGACACATGAGTTTGGTGTGGAGGAGCCTGAGCCCAGCTCCTGCCTCAGCTCTCCACAACCGGCCTGCACCCCACCATGCAGGTTCCCCAGCCTGTCCTGAGAGCTCTAGGGAGGCCTTTCTGTGCTGGCGTGGTTGCTTATAAGCATGAGGAAGGTCTTAACGACCTCCTATCAGCCAAGGGTAAGTCTCAGACTTTAGTTATGATCCACACCAAAACAAAAGAATGGGAGGCTGGTGTTTGGTCACCAGGAAGAGGCAGAGATGTCCTGGGTTGTAAGCCCCACCTTGGGGAGGAGCTAAGAAGCCACGAATCATGTTCAAACCATATTTAGTGGTCATTGTGGGTTAGCCCCAAATTGTATGGGTAGCTTTAGCTTCCAGAAGTCCCTAGAAACCTGAGTTTTGGGCAGTAAGGAAAGGGTCTTTAAAGCTGTGGGCACATGTGGGCCAGCCTTGCCCATGGGTAGGTGCTGCTCCTCCTCTTATCCTTCCTCCACTTCTCATTCCTGCTTGCTGTCCCGGGGCTGATAGACCCTCCGCTTTCTGGTCCTGAGATGCTGCTTGTTCCAGGAGCTGTGGTGCCTGACCCTCACTAGGTTTCAGGTTATTAAATTTGAAGCCGTATTGCCTGGAAGGAGAAACAGGCAGGCCGATTCCAGAGTGTTCTGCAGCCCCCAATCTGGACCTGTACTTTTCTTCTTTCTCCTTCAGACGTGCAACAAAATGAAGTAGGTAAAATTTAGGAAGTTGAAATTGGTCACCAGTCTCTTGCTTTTCTTGTTTGTGAAGTGAGCTGTTTGCGTTAGTCAGGTTTCCAGTTGCATTTTGTCATAGAGCGGGCTCTGGTGGGCAGGGACAGGGCACCTGGTCTGGGGATGAGCTCCAGGCAAGGACAGGGCACTGCCTGTTGCTTGTGTCCCAGTCATTCGTCACGATCCACAGGTCAGGTTGAGGAGGGCATCGCTGCCAGTTGTCACCTGTGCACAAAAGCTTTGGATAAACCGTGTCAGAAATCTTCATCATACTCCGTGCAAAATACAGCAGGCCTGACATTTCCTGATGATTTGCAAGACTGATTACTTGGGCTGTGGCACCTGCTGTTTCTGTCTGAGCACAAACTTCCAAACTTTTCCAGCACATGTGTTCCCTGTGTTTGTGCCTGATGTGGTACCGTTTTCTCTATATCCCTGTGCTAAGCCGCCGGTGGGTGCCTGAAATTTCCTATGCTAAGTGCTCTGTCTTCTGGGCACATGTGTCTGCGATAAAGCGTAAGTACTAAGATAGGCAAAGCAGGAGATTAAGAACAGTAACTAGTAAAATAGAACAGATAGGACAACAGTTTGAATAAAAGTTATTTAAAACTTGAGTTATCTCTGGAATTTTCTGTTGACTGTTTTCAGACTCGGGTAACTGGAGTGTAGCACCAAGCCTTTCATGCCAGGCAGGTGTGGGCTGCGGGCTGCCCCTGAGCACAGAGCTGGAGAGCATAGCAGAGAGCATGCGTGTGAGCTGAGGTGTGACCTCAGGTCTTGTCTCCTGTGTCTTGTGTCAACAGGGACACGCTGGCTGCGTGGCACACCTGCTGCAGGGCACTCACGTGCAGGGAGCCCTGGTGAGGCGGGGCTGGCACTGAGGGTTTTGCAGGGCTCAGAAGGTGTCAGCACTTGCCCCCACGTGGATGGATTTAAAAGCTTGTTGAAGGCACAGTTGAGCTTTCCAGTATGCTTTTTAAAAAGTGTTCATTGTTAAAAATTTGTTAGAGTATCTATTAACAAATTTTAGATAAACAGTATAAAATTAAACCAATATTTTGAAAACCTGTCTCAAAGCAGTTAGAACTGATTTGGGGGAGAGCACTTCTGTGTTTGCATAAGGCTTTGCATTCCTGTGGAATTCCCCTGCTTCAAGATTGGTGAGTTTGTAGGTTTTGGTTCTGCTCCAGACCCTTCACAAATAAGAGGCCATTTACAGATATACTTAAACATCCATTAGGGAATTAACTGTCCTCTGGCAGTCCGTCTCACCCTTCTGTTTTGGCAGACAGCTGGCTGGGCTTCTGCCTCTTCCTTGCTACTTTGCTGGTTTCCAGGGCCACCCCTGGGGCCTCGAGTCTCTGGACACTGAGCTCTTCTTTTGCAGCCTGATGCTGCTGGCTTTTGCTATCACGCCTGCCTGCTGGGCCTCTCGCTCTTTTGGGCAGTGCCATAGAAATCCTGCCTTTTCAGATGCTCAGGCAGAGGACAAAGGCCTGTGGCGGGGCCCGTGCAGAGGCATCTGTCTGGGGCCAACCCCTCTCTCCACTCATGGAGGATGGGGCCAAGGGATCAGGCTGGGGAAGTGGGACAGTAATGAACGAAGCCAGGGCTGCGCAGGAAAGTCACCACAGACAGTGATTAGAAGTGGTGCCACCTCGGATGACCATGCTGAGCTGCTGGTGGAGTGTGGCTGGGACTGCAGCTCACAGCAAGGGATGGGCCATCAGAGCTGTGTGTTGTCCCCAGTCACTTGGACTGTGTGGCCTTCACTTATTTGGATCCAAAGTGACCCAGCTGCCAAGGGTGGTGACACGTGCCTGTAATTTCAGCATTTGGGAGGCTGAGGCAGGAGGATTGCCCTGAATTTGAGGCCAGCCTGGGCTACCTTGTGAGTGCAAGGCCAGCCTGAACTGCATAGTGAGACCCTGTCAAAAGAAAAAGTAGTGGTGCAACTTTCTTTGGACCCATGGCTTAAGGCCTTTTCCAGCCCCAGGGTGCACGGCCGCTGAGACCCTGTGGTCTCAGCTGTTGTGTTGGTGCACGTGGAGTACCTACCTCCATGGCATAGAAGGGGCTTGTGGAGCAGGTTGGCTGCCGTCTTCAGTGGCCAGCAAGGTGAAGTCTGGGGCAGTCCTCTGTCCTCCTCTGTCCTGCCCCAGCGCTCTGGAAGCAGTTGTGCTGTCCTCTCCCAGTCTGTCTGGCCTCACTGCTGCCACCTATCCCAGACCAGCTGGCTGTGGAGACTGGTGATCGCCTAAGAGGACATCCCCCTTCCGGAAAGGCTGCCTTCCCTGGGTTGGTCCCACCCTGCATTCCTGCCAGCGCATCTGGGCCCAGGAGAGAGTGGCTGTCCCAGGGTTCTCACAGGCTGTCGCCCTTCCTGTGATCACAGGAACCATCCTTACACCAATGTTTCTTTTTACTGAAAACTCAGAGCGTCTCATGTCAGTATTCCAAAGATTCCTCTGTGACAGTTTATTGCAACCTTCCTTTAGCAGTGAGATGGAAGTATGGATCCCGAAGTCAGGACCACTTTGTAGCGAGTGCCAGGGAGCACTGTGACAGGGTGTAGGTGACAGGCAGACTGGACAGGAGAGTGGGCCTGGGCCAGGGCTTTAGCTGGGCACGTTCCCCACAGGTATTTGGCAGTGAGTGAGCCCTTCTGGCCATTATCACTGGGGTGAGGGGACCCCTGCTACTGGCACTTAGGGGTGGACAGTGACTCATGCCACAGGCATGGCAGCCCTCACAGGTCAGGAGTGCCCTGCCGAGGGTGGGAGTGCGAGGTTGCGAAGCCCCGGTCCGGTGTGGTGCGCTTGCCCTGGCGACGTGCTGTAGTGTTTGACTGGCGTTAACTAGTTGGGGCTTTGCATCCTCACTGCGATCCAGTCCTAGAGCATTTCCAGAAGACCCCCATGCCTGTTTGAAGCCAGTCCTCGTTCCCGCAGGTCTGCTTTCTGACTTTGTCTGTCCTCCCTGAACGTTTCCTGTAAGTGGGGTCTTCTGCACCCGGCTTCTCTTAGCAGGGGAGTTCGTCCTTCGTGTCATGGCGTGTGTCAGCGTCTCCTCCTCCCATCCGAGCACTGACCATGCCTGACCCTGCTTAGCTCCTAGCTGAGACGAGATCGGGCGTGTGCGTCCAGGCGGTGTGGCCATGGACTCCTCCCTGTCCACTCATTCATTGCCTTCTCGCTCACGGGGTGTGGGTGTTTGGGTTGTACTCACTGGCTGCTGTGAGCTCTTGTGTGCAGGTCTCGGTGGGCATTTTCATTTCTTTTTGTTAGATGCCTAGATGTGGAATTGCTGGGGGGTTATGTTTAATTTGCTAAGAAGCTTCCAAACTTTTCCAAAGCCACTTGCCTTCGTTCGCCCCCACAGCAGAGGACGCTGGTCTTGGTTTACCTGCCGGCCCAGCATTCGCTGTGGTCTGTTGTCACAGCAGAGCTGTTCTGGTGGGGAAGTGCCGTCACCCTCCCCTGGTGGCTGTGCTTGGACATCTTCTCATGGACTTAAGAGCCGTTTGTATGTCTTCCTTGGTGGACTTCAGAACCCTCCCTCCGTCCCTCCCTTCCTCCCTTTCTTTCTTTTTTTTTGGTACCAGGGATCGAACTTGGGTCTTTGTGCTTGCAGGGCAGGTGGCAGAACCATTGAGCCAAATCCTCAGCCCAGAGCTTTTTCTTATTATTGAGTTATAATAATTTTAAAAATACATTCTGGGGGCTGGGGATTTAGCTCAGTGGTTCCACCGCCTGCCTTACAAGGACTTGAGTTCGATCCCTGGTATAAAAAAAAAAAAAAAAAAAAGGA